CGGCACGGACGCGGGCACGGCCGCCCGCACTCGCTCGGCAATCTAGACGACATACGCAGCGTTAGAGAGCACAGGGTGAGGGGCGCCAACCTCGGCCAGGTACGGAAAGGCAAACTCGTAATAGTGCTCCTGCGTCAAGTACTCGGCGCCAACGCTCTCAAAGACCTGGAGGGCCTGCGCGCCGGCCTCGTACTGCGCGATGAGGTAGCGCACGCACACGTCCGTGATGGCCGCGAGCGCTTCGTGGGCGGCTTCCGGATACTAGCGACGCATGGGACGGCGCGCCAGGGAGAGAATGGAGTACCTTGTAGAGGAACGTCTTGACCTTGTCCTTGGTGCGCGAGCCGCCGCCTTCGACCATGTAGGTGAAGAGCGTGAAGGGCGCGCCTGAGAAGCCGATGAGCGGGACCTGGCCCTTGATCTCTTGGCGCGCGAGGTTGATCGCGTCCATGAGGTAGCCGAGCGTCGCTTCAATGTCGGGCTTGATCACGAGGCGCTTGAGGTCCTCCGGCGTGCGCAGCGGCTGCGGCAGCACGGGGCCAACGCCCGACTTCATCACAACCTCCATGCCCATAGCCTGCGGCACGACGAGGATGTCGCAAAAGATGATGACGGCATCCGTGTTGTAGCGGCGCAGCGGCTGGAGCGAGACCTCGACCGCGAGCTCCGGCACTTGGCACATCTAGTCGTAGCGGTTAGTTGGCGCCTCCCACTCCGGCCATGTACCGTGAAGAAGTCGTAGCCGGCGCTGCGCAGCGCGCGGAACTCGGGCAAGTGGCGGCCGGCTTGGCGCATGCACCACACGGGCACACGCTCGGTCTTTTGGCCGAGGTACGCGCGCACGAGGAGGTCGTTCTTGAGGCGCGGCAGCTGGTCGAGCGGCAGGCGCTTGATGGGCGTGCGCTTCATGGGGTACGGGCGCTCGGCCTTCTGGCGCTGGCGCAGGACGATCATGGCGACGGCGGCCGCGACGACGGCGACGAGCGGGACTACAGCTTTGGCCATCTCTTCAAGAATGAGCGAAGCACCACGAAAACGAATCCGCTCTTTTCTACACTATTTACGGTTATATACGAAATGGTGTGTCATGGATACCTGCAAGTGCACCGTGATTGGCTCATGTAGCGTGACACGCTGGACGTGGCGTCAGTGGCTTGATGGCGCCAAACCTGCTCGATCGAGCGAGGGCGAGAAGGACACCTTGTCGTAAGTTGTCCGAGCAAGCAGATTTCTGAAGCGACGCATTCTTTAGGTCGCATTACAGTGGCGGTCTTGGTGATAGTGAACTCAGATTCTGGTACACATTGCCCACATCTCGCAAGGTGTCGGCCATCAACAGAATACTCGTTTGCAACGTGACATTTCACGTTTCAAAGTGGGAAATTGCATTGTGTGTGGTGTTTAGCGCGAGAAGGTGCAGTTGACGTTGGTCAAGAAGGCCTTCTCGTCGTCCGAGAGGTCGGTCGTGTCGAGATACTGTCCCGAAATCTCCCTACGATCCTTCTTTTTTGAGACTGGATGAACGATAGAGAGAGTGCGTACAGTGCCTTGAGCGACTGAAGGCCAAAGACCTCCTTGGGAATCCAACGGACGCCGGCCTTGCGCAGCACGAGCGTTTCGACGTATGGCGGAAACACATGTTCCTGGATCGACAGCTTGACGTTCTCGATCCACCTACGTTTGTTCGTTTATGCAGAAACCACGGGCGAGTCAAGTTAAAGCCGTACAACGACGTTAGCGACGACTTGGTGAAGGCGCCGTCGAGGAGCGCCAGCGGGTACTTTTCGTCGTTGTAGTTTTTGAGCACCCTAACCAGAGATGTCTCTTGGAGTTGGAGGATAGATGGGATGTGTACAGCTCGGTGATGTTGTCGGCGCGATAGTCCTGGACGATACGGACCGGCTCGGCACGGCCAAAGGACCCTGAGGCGCCACGAAGCCCGATCGCGTACGAGCCGTTTCGAGCCCACGTGTTGCTGAGGCACTTGAGCATGCAGCCAGCCTCGGGCGCTTCAACGCACGAGCCAAGCGACGACGGTTCGCACGTAAAGTCGTCCAACTGGCTCGGGTAGTAGACGCAGCTCTGGGCCTTGACACCGCCTTGGAGCGGACAAATGTCGCCGCAGAGTTCGGCGCTGGACGTCAGGACATGGCCGTCCGGGCACGCCAGTGCTGTAGCGAGCGTCGACGCGAAGAAGGCAATGCTGGTACGCATGATGAATCAAAAGAGTTTCTGATGCAGTAGGTGAGCTTTTATTTATCGAAGAGACCGGACGACGCGGATTCTCGAAGCTTTCTCGATCGTCCAGGAGACCACTAGGTTGTCTATGAACTCGTGTTTGGCGGGACATGAGGAACGACAGCGGTATACCCTCTTGAGGCGTACCAGTACTGGACCTTTCGTCTAACTTGCACGAGGTTTGACTTGTTGAGCGTCATGAGATGCGGAGGATATGCCTTTAAACGGCATGTCTGTACGGCGATATTTGGTGGGGGAGGCAACACACCACGACAAAGAAGCCACCTGGCGAGGTAAATGGGTTAAACGAAATGGTCATCGATCACGCAGCTAGCCAAACGTGCAGTTGACGCTGCGCACGAACGCCGCTTCTTCCTTGCTCAGCCACGACGTGTCGAGAAACTGGCCCGAGATCTCCCTACGACACCGTTGAGCGCATTTCACGCGACCATGGCACCGTACAGTGTTTGGAGTTGTGTGAGCGTAAAGACCTCCTTGGGAATGCGACGGAGACCCGTCTTGCGCAGCACGAGCGAGCGCAAGTGCGGCGGAAACACATTGTTTCGCAGCGCCAAGTCGACGTTTTCAATGCGCCTAGGCACCGCATCGATCCTCGGAGATGGCCACATGCGTCACGTACAAGGATGTGAGTGCCGATTGGTTGAAGGCGCCGTCGAGCAGAGTCAAGGGGTACTTTTCACTGTTGGCGTTGGTCAAAACCCTAACCCCAATCGATACATCAACCGGTTTGACGACGACACGGACAGCTCCGAGATGTTGGCGGCGCGATAGTCCTGCACAAAGCGCACGGGCTCGGCACGGCCAAACGAGCCGGTGTTGCCGCGGAGCCCGATCGCGTACGAGCCGTTCCGGGCCCACGTGTTGCTGAGGCACTTGACCGCGCCGCTGCCATCTGGACTCGCGACGCACTGCCCGAGCGACGACGGCTCACAGGGGAAATCTGTCAGCGCCGACGGGTAGTAGACGCAGCTTTCAGCCTTTCCGGACACCTGCAACGGACACACGTCGCCGCACAAGCCCGGCGTCGACGTTAAAACGTGTTGTTGCGTGGGCCACGACACGGCCAGACGCCAGAGAGAGAAGCATGGGGAATGTAAAACTAAACATCTCTCAACACCATGATGCGAGGACGCAAGCTCCGAACAAGAAGATGAGCGCATCGAAGCTTTAGATGGTCTAGGCGCACGCAACGTTACTACTAAGGCTGCATGGGGAGCGAGATGGCTTGCTTGAGCTTCATGGCGGTGTGGACCGTCAAGATCGCAGAGCGCAGCGACCGGCGCGAGTTGAGTTTCCGCAGCTCCGTCATGGCGGTCGTCAGCGGCACGTACGTCTGCGGCGCATGCGTATGGAACCACTCGTCCTGCAGGAGCTTGTGCGCCGACGCCCTACGCTCCTCTCAACTCGAGTGGATGCTAAAGAGAGGGTTGCGCACCGCTCGGAGGGCCGCACGACGAGCATCCGCGCGACAAAGGCCTTGGCGCTGGGCGAAATGAGGTCCCAGTGCGGCGACGGGAACGCGTAGGCGCCGGCCTTGATCATGCGGAACATTTTCGCGGGGTTCTTGTCGTAAAAAGGCAGAAAGCCGCTGAGAAGTGCGTACGTGATGACGCCAATGCTCCAGATATCGACCGCCTTGTCGTATGGCGCCTTCGTCGAGAGCAGCACTTCGGGCGCGACGTAGGCCGGCGACCCGCACATGGTGGTGAGGTACGCGTCGTCCTTGGCGAGCCCAAAGTCGGCGATCTTGATAACCGCGTCGTCGCCGCGGGAGCTCAAGAGGATGTTTTCCGGCTACACGATGCTTAAACTCAAACTCAACGCGGAAAAGTACCTTGAGGTCGCGATGGACAATGTGCATGTCGTGGCAGTACGCGACGGCTTCGAGGAGCGCGCGGACAACGTTCTTGGCCTCGAGCTCCGTGTACACCGTCTGCGTTTATTTAGTCCATCGAGTCCAATGAAGTGGTGTACCTTGTCGACGATGCGGTCGAAGAGGTCCCCGCCTTCCATGAGGTCCGTGACGATGTAGCCGCAGTTCTCTTCGAGGAAGAAGGCGTGACACCGAATCACGTGCGGGTGGTTGAGCTGTTGAAGGATCGAGACTTCGCGCTGGATGCTGACGAGGTCCATGGCCGAGACTTGCTTGAGGTCCAAGCACTTGACAGCGACGGTGGCGCCGGTCGCGACGTGCGTGCCCCGGAGCACGATCGAGAAGGCGCCTTCGCCGATCTTGGGCCCGAGCGTGTACGCGGCCGCAAAGCGCGTGCAGGCCATGACCTGCGCCTTCTTGGCCTTGAGCGGCGCGAGATCGTCGACGGACTTGCCGCGCACGTCGCTGCCGGGGCACTGTACCGAGAGGTTGCAGCCCATATTGCCGATGCCAAAGATCATCCGGTTGGGCTAATTTTGGATGGACTTTCTCATGGAATTGGCTGGGCGCACGCAACTTGAGCCCAGCCCAGCACAGGCCCTGCATGCACACCGATGGTGCGAGCAGTGGACTCGCTGGCCTTCTTTCTTTTTGGTTTGAAATATATCGATGGCGCTGCCAGGGGACAGCGGCGACGATGTCGTGCCGGCATGTGTACCGTGCAATTGCGTGATTCCAGACAAGGTGGTTGGTATGAAAAAGGGGTGCTCTCAGCACCCCCTGTACCGAATCCAGACCGGTGGCATCGAATCTCGCAGTATCTTGGGTGATGAACCAAGGGCATGACGACGACGCGACAGCAGACGCGCGCTGGCACAACCGGCTCGGCGCGCTCCTGAGCGCCAGCGGCAAATACGCCAAGGCCGTCGCCCACTTTGAGGCAGCGCTGCGCCTCGACCCGACGTACGCCGCCGCCCACTACAACCTCGGGAACGCCCTCGTCTTTACGCGGCGCCAGGCCAACGACGACGACGAGGCGGCGCACACGACGCAGAGCGCGGTGGACCACTTTCGCCTCGCGATTGCGCACCAGCCGACCTTTGCCGACGCCCATGTCAACCTCGCCGCGCAGCTCTACGCGCTGGGCGACTGCGACGCCGCCCTCGTGCACGCGCGCACCGCGATCGAGCTGGACCCGACCAACACCCACGGCTACTACAATCTCAACACGATCTACCGCGCGTTAGGCCAGCAGTGCACGGCCATCGAATTGTGCTGGGCGCGAGTCCAAGCTCTTGTGGGTGCGTTCATCGAGCGGCCAACCACCGAGCCCGTGCACGTGCCGCCGCCGCCCTCGACCGTCTCGATCGCCTGTGTCAAGTGGGGCACGAAGTATGGATCCGACTATGTCAACAAGCTGTACTCGGGTATCCAGCGCCATTTGGCGACGCCTTTTCGCTTCTACTGCCTTACCGACGACGCCGCTGGTTTGCGCCCAGGTACTTGGAATCGAGTACTTCAGCTGATACATTATCGTAGAGATCATCGTGCACCCGCTCCAGCCGGGCTTTGTCGGCTGGTGGAACAAAGCGCAGCTCTTTGCTCCCGACTTTCCCGCCACCGGTAGTACGAGACCTCTGCGCGCGCTGCTCTCACAAGTAGTAGGCCGCGTCGTGTACATCGACCTCGACACCGTTCTGGTCGGCGACATCACAGCGCTCTGCTCGGTACACTGCTTCTGCAGCGCAGCTCATAAGTGGCATAGTACGCGGGCCCATTCGGCGTCCTTGGCACCGACGACATGCGCAACGAGCGGCGGCGCGGTGGCATCAACAGCAGCGTCATGATCTGGTCCGCTGGCTCGTACGCGCACGTGTTTACGCTCCTCGCCGCTCACGCGACTGCAGTCCACCAGTGCATCTACAAGTTTGACCATTGGCTCGAGATGATCTTGCACGAGCGCCACTACGACGAGCTGCAGGTATTGTAGAACTTAGTGCAACCTCTCCTTGCTGATTGATTGTTCCTAGCTTTTGTACCCGGGGCACATTGTCGAGTATATGCAGGCGTGCCAGGCGACGTGCCCCGGTGCAGCGCGGCTTGTGTGCTTTCCGCTCGAGCCCAAGCCGCATACCGCGCCCGCTCCGTGGATACAAGCGCACTGGGTGTGATTTGCGATCTTTTCATCCGGATAATCGTCGAAAACCGGATGCAATGTCTTTTATTTCTCTTTCTATGAATGTTTGTATGGATACAGAATAAAACTACAGAACCTCTAACATCCAATGTCAGTTGTATCGGATTTCGGGGTCTGAAGATCGCCCGCAATTCAATTTGCGGCCCAGAAGACGAGAAGCGATGTTCCGGAACCAGTATGACACGGACGTGACGGTGTGGAGCCCCCAAGGCCACCTCCACCAGATCGACTACGCCATGGAGGCCGTCAAGCAGGGCTCGGCCTGCCTCGGCCTGCGCTCCTCCACCCACGTCGTCCTCGCCGGCATCAAGCGCGTCAACGCCGAGCAGCTCGCGGACCCGCAGAAGAAGCTCTTTGAGATCGACTCGCACATGGGCATGGCCATCGCTGGCTTGACCGCCGACGCGCGCTCGCTTGCGCGCTTCATGCGCACCGAGTGCCTCAACCACAAGTTCGTCTATGGCAGCGCGCTGCCCGTGGCGCGCCTCGTGGCCGACGTCGCCGACAAGAAGCAAGAATGCACACAGTCGTACGTTCGCCGCCCGTACGGCGTAGGCCTCCTCGTCGCCGGTGTTGACGTACGCTTGACGGCCCGCGGCGCTTGCTCATGCGCTCTACCGTGTAGAAAAACGGTCCGCACCTCTTCCAGACGTGCCCGTCGGGCAACTACTACGAGTACAACGCGATCGCGATCGGCGCGCGCTCGCAGTCGGCGCGGACATACTTGGAGAAGCACTTTGAGACGTTCCCGAACAGTACGTGATGCTGCCGCCATCTTGCACGTGACACATATCGACCCTCCATAGGCTCCAAGGACGACTTGATCAAGCATGCGCTGCAGGGCATCCGCGGTTGCCTCGAAGGCAGCCAGGTACGACACTGCTATCAGCGAAGCTTGTTGCGTATGGCGATCATGCGTAGGAACTCTCTGCGTCCAACGTTACGATTGCGGTTGTCGGCGCCGACCAAAAGTTCATCTTGATCGAAGGCGCGGACTTGCAGCCTTATGTACGTCCTCTTGGTGCAAGCGTGTTCCAGCGCTAAGCAGATGCGTGTAGATTGACGCGGTCGAGGTGTCGGAGATCTCGGAAGACGCGCCCATGTAAAGCGCGTGACACAGGCCAGCGACAAGCATCAGTAGAAGTATATGCAGTGGTGTGTTGCATGCTTAAATACGCTATGATGTGCGGGCCTCGTCCTTCTCGACCTTGTGCCACTTGACGCCCCAGCGGTCGTAGAGCTCGTTGGTCGTGGCCGCGCCGACGTGCGACTTGCGTCGGTAGCGCAGCGCCTTGTGCAGCAGCGCCGCGTTGCAGTGCGTGGCCGGGTCCAAGTCCAGCGCGGCCTGCATCTTGGCGATCGCCCGGTCGAAGCCGGCCTTCGTCGCCTCCTCCGAGTAGTGCAGATGCAGCGTCGGTCGCTTTGTCGCCATGAGGCCGATTCCACACTGGGAGCTCAACATGGTGGAAAGATCGCAAGCTCAAAAATAGAGACGCCTGCGATTGGTTGATAAAGTCATCATTGCGGCTTTGGATTGGCGGATAAACGCCCAACATGATGCGATTGGTCGAAACCGTCGACTTTGCCGCTAGCCAATGAAAACGCTGTATTTTAAGCGCCGATCTTCGAAGCGCAACCCTTCCCAGTATTAGCTCTGCGAGATGCTCCGAGATGATGAGAGTACCTGACGAGCTAGCATGACGGGCCGCATCAGTTCTTATGGCCCAAAGTGACTGCTCGTATCTTGGTCCTTGCAGAGTCGGTCGACCAGCAAGGCTCGTCATCAACGCCATCGCATATCAACGCCGTCGCGTTAGCTAACGAATGTATCAGGAAGGGCGTTGGACAGAAATAGGCCGTCGGAATGTCAGGTACGTTCTTCACCGATGCGCAGGGAAGTCCGCCTTCTTCCAGTCACCTCTCTTCCTCATCACGTAAGCGTTTCGACCCTGCGATCCGCGCGCAAGATCCCAATTCTTTTACAAGTTTCTGCATTCTTGTAAGTCCGCTTCGCACTTGAATGGAGTATTGCGTTGGACCGGCAACGGGAAGCGTACTTTATCGGGTCCCATTTCAAGTCCGCAAGCCACGATGGTGCTCTACATCAACGACGACGACGACCGGAATGGAGCCGCCGACGTCGACATGGGCGAGCCCGTCGAGGGCATGGCCGACTGGCGCCGCCAGCTCCACGCCCACGACAGCATCGACGTGCAGAACGTATTTGGCACCTGGTGCGCGGCCATGCTCCTCGAGGTCCACCACCAACGCCAACGTCCATCGCCTGACGTGGCGTAGGCGACGTCGTCGTCCGTGCGTGTGCGCTTCCACAACATGAACCCGGCGTGGGACGCGTGGTATCCCAAGCACTCGCGCTGCCTCGCGCCGTCCTCGACCAAGGTGCGCCAAGCCTCGTGGCCACTGCGGCAGCGTCGTCTCTGTAGGCCAGCAACGACGCGCTGCCGTTCACGCCGGCGCAGACCGTCGACCTCTTCTTGCACACCGAGTGGAAGACCGCGAGCGTGCTGCGCGTCCGCACCGACGAGGTCTTTGTGCGCGTGGCCGGCCAAGGTTCTACTCTGCGAGCATGGAACTCGAAGCTATCGCAACCTGCTATAGAACGCTGGGTGCCCTTCCAGCCGTCCTGGCTCGCGCCACACGGCTGCCACACGGCCGCGCCCGTCTCGTCGGAGCACATCATGATCCAACACACACGCCGCGCCGTCACCACCGGGTCGTCCTTTGACACGTACTGCGCGGCGCTATCCCAGCACGAGCTCGATCTCGTCCAGGTGCCTGGCGATGGCAACTGCCTCTTCCGCGCCATTAGCCACCAGGTACCATCCTCCATATGCTACCGCATGCATGCGACGACGATGCGTCAGGTGTACGGCGACGACCAGCACCACGCCGTCGTGCGGGCGAGCTGCATGGACTACATGGAGGCAGCGAAGGCCTACTTTGAGCCGTTTGTCGTCGGTGACATGCCGGCCTTTCTGCGCTACGTGGCGCACAAGCGGGCGCAGGGGGTCTGGGGCGACGACCCGGAGCTCCAAGCGCTCTGCGAACTCTACGACCGGCCGCTTTACGTGTTTGTGCATGACCCGCGCGTCGGCGCCAGTGTGCTGCGAACGTTCCACGAAGCGTCGACGAACCCCCGTCCACCGATGCGGTATTTCTACCAGTTCTGCTTCCCCTCCACGCATCATTTTTCTAGTGTGAGCTTTTACGGCGGCGGTCATTACGACTCGGTCGTGCACCGCCGCAGCCACACCCTGCACCTCCTGCGGTCATCCGGGACTTGTTTGATTCCGTGGATGCTCATGCGGCGAGTTAGAGACCCACCGGGAACGTACGAGGCACTGCGTCTCGCCGACATGCAGCGGCACATGTCGGAAGAGAGCGACGCCCTCGAGGTTACTTGATTTTTTTGGTATTTTGCAGCATCCGACTTGACGTGCGTAGCGATCGCGCCTCGAGTTTCACGGCCAGAGCTCGCTCGAAGACGCCTTCGCTGCGTCCGTCGCGGCGTACGAAGCGCAAGTCGCATCGACCGTGGAGGCGAGCGAACTGGCCACTGTCCAAGCCGAGAGCGAGCGAGACGCCCTCCAGGTACGAGAGAGACATGGCGTCGGTTCGATCACGCTCTCTGCGCAGGCATCGCTACTCAGCAGTGCCCAAGCCGAGTCCGAGCACGACCTACTACAGCAAGCCCTCCAAGCGTCGCTCCAGGACGCTCCAGCGGTGTGTGTGTTGCGACGTCTTTCGACGGCTCATCATGCCCTAGGCCCTCAAGAGAGATGAGGACGACGACGACGAGGCCCTTCTCGCTGTGGCGCTGCAAGCATCGCTCGATCCGACAGCGTCGCTGGATCCTGTGCGTTGTGATGCTGAGGAAACGAAGCTAATGACTGTTTATCTTAGTACGACGAGGCACTGCGGCGTGCGCTCACAGAGTCGACGCCAAACTACGCAGATGACGACGACGACGCACTCCAGCTCGCGATCCAGCAGTCGCTGCTGTAGCACAAGAGACTTACTTGGGTTCGATGCAGTCTTGCTACTTGAGGGTCATGGAGGTGTTTTTGAGGATATCTTGATGTGTTACACGAGGCTCGGCTCGTCGCTGAGGACGCCGTCGACGACGTGGAGGGTGTTCTCGACGACCATGGACGAGGCGTTGCGTGTCTGCAGCATCTCGTCGCTGGCAATGGACCGCGTCTTCGCTTTGCTCTGGCCGGCGATTGCGATGGCACGGCCCACCGCTTGGTCGCATCGAAAGTTAGTTCGTTGACACCAAGATTAGCTATGTACACTCTTGGTTGACACAGCTTAACTATCTTCGATGGGGTGGTTCGTGGTTGGAAAATGAAGACATGTATATTGGTGCACGATCAATGCAGAGAGACCGCCGAGTTCTTATGGATCTTGAGGTTGAGGACGAGGCTCGAGACCTGCGCCTGCGCACTGTCCTGGAGGTGCAGGTGGCGGTCGCTGTCTTGGATCACGGAGAACACGGACGCGGTGTGGCCTTCGGGCGCTGGAATTTTGCTCTTGACTGCAATCACCTGCGTGGCCGACGCTGTTTCGAGATTCGGGTTCTCGGGCAAGCCAAAGCACGACAAATGGCTCATGAAGAACCACTGGAGCGTACTGAGGCGGCGGACGCGGCAGATCATGAGGGCACCGCCGTTCTTTGCTTCGGGATTTTGCTCGATCCCCTCGAGGAAGTCGCAGAGAATCGACGACGAGTTGTACATCGCTTGGCGAGACAGCGAGTGTTGTTTCAGCAGCTTCCAGTGCGCGCGGTTCCATCCATGGTCGAGGAGCGTAATCACCGCGAGGTTGACGAGCATTCCGAGCACGACCGAGCCGCCGACGCGCATGTAAAAGCTATCGAAAAAGTCGACGCGGATCCCGTCAATCTTCTCAAACGAGTTGCGGAGGTCGGTCGCGACCGAGTTGTTGTAGTCCATGAACGGCGGGACGTACGCCAGCAGAACGGCGCTGAGGTACAGCGAGAGCACGCTCGACCAGTTGAGGAAGCCCATGACCGCGCTCTGGCCGTTGAACGAGACGGTGCCGAGGAGGCTCCAGCCGGTTTTGGCGAGCTTCAGGACTGCGCAGTTGAGCCAGAGGAAGCGCATGCTGCAGCAAAACATCTGCAGCGAGTAGATCGGCTGCGGGTTCCAATTGTTGAGCGCGTTGACGTTGCGCATAAAGATAAAGCAGTTTTGGAGATCCAAGAGCACGCTGAGCGCGTAGCAGTAGACAAAGATGTCCGAGTTGAAGCAAAACATGTCGAAGCGCAGCGCGTGGGAGGCCTGAGGGTAGTACTTGGGCGCGACCGTGCGGAGGACGCGCGCGACAAACGAGTCTGGCGCGTCGAGCCACTGCACCGTCCGGCGGCTCGCGAGGTACCCGCCGACGCCAAAGAAGATGCCGAGCAGCTTGACGTAGACGGACGCAATGGTGGCAACGTTGCTGCGCAGCATGAGCCCGAGCGTGAACTTCGAGCCCTCGACGAACGTGCTCGACGTCACGCGGAGGCTCTTGGCGCTGTGATTGTACACTATTGTCATGTTGCAGACACTGTAGCCGAGCTCGGCGACCGGGTCGCAGAGCGTGCAGAAGGTGCGGGGAAAGATGCGATAGTAGTGGACGAGCTGCGTCTGGGGCAAGGACGTGTTGCGGATCGGGATGGCGCGCGTGAAGCGCATGTCGACGTAGTTGCGCCCGGGCGTGTACCCCAAGGCCGCGATCTGGTCGCTGCGCATGGTCGCGTTGGCGAGGTTGGCTGTCTTGCCGTCCGAGAAGGCGTTCGTGATCGCGTTCCCGCGGTAGTACGTGATGGCGCCGGAGGCCAGCGCGAGGCGGGCGGTCGGCGTCGCCGGCGTCCAGCTGAACGAGTAGTTTTGCTGGAAGATGGGGCAGAGCACGGTGGCGGGCGTGAGCGGGAACTCGCCGGCCGCGACGAGGTAGATGTCGTCGGCCTTGGTGTTGATCTTGTGCACCGTCGTATTCGCCATCCAGAAGCCAACGTTGGAGAGGGTGTTGACCGAGAGCCCTCGCGCAAACGAGTACTGTCGAGTGAGCTGCGGAAGGAACTGCGCGGTGGCCACGGGCGTTGCGAGGAAGTACGCGTCGCCAAGGTAGTTGTTGAGCGCCCAGTTGTTGACGATCGCGTCGGTGACCAAGATGCAGATGACGAGAACGCCGGTCGCGGTCAAGAGAAATGCGTACGCCTTGTGCGCATGCACGTGCCATTGGTTCTGCGCCGGCAGCGCCTCGATGATCTCGGTCAGGCGACGCTGCATGACCGAAAATGAAGTGAAGAAATTATTGGCGGGAACCGCCGCGTGAAACCTCTGGGAACCCCTATTTTTATGAACCCCTCCAAGGGACAAGTGCCAACCCGATACTTTTAGTAGGTTTACGACAAGGGTACATTGAATTTATGTACCCTTGGTTTACGACTTGTCGGCCGAGTAGAGGGCGACGAGCGAGTCGGTGGCGCCGGCGGCGAGGAGGAGGCGGTGCGGGTGGAACGCGAGGCACGAGACGGGGCCGATGCGCTAGCCACTCGACTTTCAACACTTCGTTCGAGACCAAGGAAAAAGTACCTCGCCGAGAAAGCCTTCGTGGTACCGGATGAGCGCCATTTGCTCGCCGTCGTGGCGAAACACCTTGATAAATTGATTGTGCGACCCGCTACCCGCAGACTATCAACTTGATACTTTTAAAAGTGCGGTGTACCTCGCAAAGAGCGGCGCGTAGTTGTGGACGCTGAGCGCCGTCATCGGCGACCGGTGCGCCTCGAGCGTCTTGACGCTAACCTTTTGGTGGCGCAGATCCCAAAACTTGAGCTCGCCCGTGACGCTGCCCGAGAGCAGCTCGTACTTGGTCGGGTACAAGTGGGTCCCTACGATCAAGAGTGAAAAAATCAGCAAAAATCAGCGAAAATCAGCAAAAATCAGCAAACTAAGAACGCACCCACGATCCACGACGAGTGTTCGCGCAAAATGGCCTTGACGTCCGACTTGGCCCGCGGGTCGTAGAGACGCAGCGTGCCGTCGCCGCAGCCCGCGACGACAAGTCCTACGCGCGATATTCCAAGCCAAACGACAGCGGTGTTGATTGCGCACCCCCAATGGCTTCGTCGGTCGCCATGGTCGTCACGCACGCGTCGGTCTGCGTCGGCGCCTACACGTGGATCAGGCTTTGGATCACGCCATCGCGAACGAACTTGGTAGACGCAGCGCTCTTGCTGGAGGTCCCAGCCCCGCACGACGCTCGAGTTGCCGGCGGCAAAGAGCAAGCCTGCCTGCTGCTGCCACGCCGTCACAAGCCCCGACCCGCGCGTGCCCGGGACCAGGTCCGGCACGGCCGTAAAGGCGAGCGCGAGCTGCGGCTTGGTCTCGACCTACGTGCGTTTTTAATCACAAACACGTACAGCTCCAGTCCGTACGTCGTGGTAAAGCTTGACGACGCCGTCGTCGGACGCGCAGTAGAGCAGCGCGCGGTCGTCCTCGTTGATCCACCCGACGGCCGTGAGGCGCGACGCGCGCGGGTTCAAATTCGCAAACGAGTGGCAGCGCTCGCTCGTGTCGACGTTCCAGACACTCAGCTGGTCGGTCGCGTCGGCGACGACGAGCAAGCTACATCGATCTCCATCGAGTCTCTCAACACAACGCAAGGGTACCTCGCGTACGGGTGGAACACGAGGAGCGACGTCATGTCCGAGTCCGTGTTGAGGAGCGCGCTCTGGCGCAAGTTGAGCGAGTACCCTGCCAGCTCTAGCGATTCTTGAGCTTTTTGAGTTTCACATTCAACGACATACGTTCTTCCTTTTCGACGCGGAGCTGCGACGCGAGGAGCTTCCAGCGGGCGTTGCGGCGCTGGCGCTCCAGCCGCACCGCACCTACGCGCGGTCATACGCCATGCGAGCATGATGTTTCTACCTTGGGCGCTCAGCGGGTCGAGCTCGTCGTCTTCGTGGCTGTCGACCGACTCGAGGAGCGGGCGGTTAAACTTGGCGCATGCCCAGCGGTACAGAGAGCTCACGAGTGCGTCCGGAAGCCGGTGGACCTCGGCCCTAATGCAGCATCATCATCTTCGATGCATGATTTACTGCACGTACACGGGCGCCTCGAGGCCGCCAAAGTTGTTGAGCGATCCGTGCTGCGACGCGAGGACGCTGGGCTTGGGCGGGCGACCAGCCACGACGCGGCCGCTGTTGGTGAGCAAGCTCGGGAGCGAGTTGTCGCGGTGCAGGCGGCCGTGCGACGGCGAGAGCGTGTGCCCGAGGGCGCCCGTGTTGACGCGCGACACGATCATCTTGACGAGCGGCCGCAGCGGCGTGAACGGATCGTGCTGCTGCATCTCCTTGAGCGCGGTCCACACCTTGGCGTAGTGCGGCGCGTGGGGCCCCAACCCTAGAGGCGCGTAAGGGGTAGGGTACCCTAAAAAACGCACCGGCGACGGCGTCGGGCACCGCCTCCGAGCCCGTCGACTTGCGCGTGTGCTGGGCGAGGTGCTCAAAGGGCGGCTGGTAGTGCGGGTGCAGCACGAGGTGCGCGAGCGCCAAGATCGTTTCCTTGCGCACGAGTGGCGACGCGTCCGAGAGCGCCGGCACGAGGCAGTCGCTGGCGATGGGCAGATCCAGCGACGGGTGGTGGCCTAGTAAGCGCACCATGAACTTGGCACGCGCGCACGTGAAGAGCGCGTGTACCGAGGAGCGTCCCGAGCGCAAAGACGGCCGATGCGCGCACTTCCGGCGCAGCGTCGGTTTGCGCGACCTTGTGCAAGTGCAAATGGACTTTGTCTTCGAGCGCCGACGCTTTCGCAGGCTCAAAAACCTCCCACGCCTTGCTTAGCGCCAGGCACGCCCTAAGGACGCCTCTACGTTGATGGGAAAACAAACGATGTTTGGTCTACCACTGGCGGACGTGCGGGTGCGGGTCGGCCAAGAAGAGCGTGACGCGCTTGAGGAGGCCGTTCTGGAGACACGCCTGCTGCCCCGTCGCATACTCGTGGCAGAGCACCGAGAGCACGAAGAGCGTCATGGCCTTTTGGTCGGGCGGCAGCAGCGGCGTCATGAGGTGGTTCAGAAAGTACTGCTGGCCGTCAATCTTGACCAGGTCGACTTGGCACGACGTGTCAAGGGCGACGATTTTGGCCTAGGATGGCATCAACCTTTTACGACTATCAATGTATCAATATGCACCCAGACAAAGACGAGGACGTGTCGGAGTTCGGGCGCGGGCGACTGCAAGAGGCGTTCGACGTACGGGAAGATGCCGACGGACAAGGTGAGGTTCACGGCGTGCGGCCCCAAGTCGAAAAACTGCGTCAGAAGAACAAGCGCACGCACGCGCAGCGCTTGGTTGAGCAGCATCTGCAGAATGATCGGCAGCTGCTGCGGCGGCGGCTTGGATTTCGAGCCAAACGCGAGCCAGACCTCGAACGCCATGAGCTGCTCGGCAAAGAAGCGCGAGTGGTGGAACGTAATCTCTTGCGGAATGCTGGGCGGCGACAGCACGGCCTGGAGCTGCGAGAGGCACGTCTCGGCCGCCAGGTCCTAAGAACTCTCCAAATTCAGTCGGCCTCCAAGATAATGGAGGGTACCCAGCTGCGCCAGAGCGGGTGGTGGGCCGTCGAGGGCAGCGCGGGCAACGAGCACGGTGTGCAGCCTACATCAACAGATCAGAGAACGCACATCGCAGACCATGTTCAGTGTACCGAGCGTCGTCATGATGCGCTCGGCCAGCAAAAAGTTGCGGAAGAGCGACGCGACGAGGAGGTCCTGCCGGAAGAGGGTTTGGAAGAGGGGCGCGGGGAGGAGGTTCCACGCGATCGTGTCGGTGATGGCCGTGAAGATCCAGTTGAGTTCGCCCAGCGGCGTCTTGCGGTCCGTGAGCTTGCCTAAAATGTCCCATACAACAATATAGTCCTTTTTTATAAACAAAAACATGGCGCGATCGCGGATCGTACCTGGAATGCGGTCGATCACGCTTGGCTCCAAATGCCCCATGCTGCGCTCGTTCTAGAGGGGCCCATGAGCCAGCAAATACGACATCGACGGGACTACCTGGGAGAGGAACCAGCGGAGGGCGACCGTGATCGGCGTCGTGAGGCAGCTCGTAAAGACGTCGGCGCACATGTCCGGGTGCGATCGGGAGGAGTCTCGTCCGGGCCGCAGGCCGCGAGC